GTTCGTGGGCAAAAGCACGTAATTCATGGAGTTCGGTAATATATACAACGCTGATATTTGTGGTATATCTATTGTTATGGAAATATTCTTATTAATATCGTGAAAGATACTAGCTATTGATCGTGTATGTGTGTTCTTTTTCTTGTTTTTCCCACAATAATCACTTTTTTTATTGATCGCGAGTTTTCCACCGCGCGATCTTACCTGAAAAAAGCCGAGAAACCGGACGTTTTTTGCTCCCTAGCCTATCGAGTCTTCCGGTCAGAGGTGAATTTTATTCGTTTCTCTGTTACTAAGAGACCTGAGTATAGGTAATACCATGCATTTGAGGTATTTTGCTTATTTGGGTATGTTTACCGAGCCGTGTCACCTTTGACGTTTTTGAAAGTAACCGTCAACCAGAGCTATTAATTAGAATAATTCAATAATTAGGTTAATGCGTATGGAAAATAAGGTGCTCGTAGCTATAGTGGGCGTTAGCAAGAACAACTATAGTGTTAAACTGTTAGTGAAATGCGGTGTATTCCATGCCACGCGTTCCTAAGGTGGCGGTTTTGGAGAGGTTTAACTGTTAGTGTGTACATTCGAAGTGCTCATTTGATTTTCCTATGTTTAAAGAACCGTTTCATATTCGACGTTTTTGAAAGTTAGCCGTGGACATTGTCCGAGAGCCAATATAAGCCAGCAGAGTCCTCCTCGTAGTGTGATCGAACAACAAAAAAAAGGTTGCGTGCGAGTAATACTATGCAATCGAGAAGTTGTATTTTCTGTGTTTACCGAACTGTTTTATATTGACGGTTCGATAAGTACCACTGAATGCCCAATCAGAGCTCATATAATTAGTATGCTTCACTGAATAGTTATGATATTTTATGCTTAGGCATATGCAAAATTGGCCCATTTCAAGAGCTGAAGGTGTCTTGATAACAGCTACAAAATACCTGAAGTTTAGAGTTCTCAATCTAGGAGTGAAATGTTCCGAGCCGTTTTCTTTACTGGTTTTCTGCTTGCAGGCGTTTTTGCATTTCGTCTTAAAGACCTGCCAGGTTTGCAATGTTTTGTTTTTAATTTTCGTGACAAATTCTCTTCAATTAGTATAGTGAAAAATCCATTATGGTTCAGACCATGCCTATTTCCATTTTATATGTCAGTCTACCTTTTAAACAAAAAATACCAGTAGAGAATGTTTAAATACTCTTGGAGAGCTTTCCAGCATTGAGGAACACCATGTTAGCTACTAGCTTTATTCCTTGGCTTCACACACACACTCGACCAAACGTGCACCATTTATCCCGCCTAATTTTAACGGTCCGCAACGATATAATTATATTTGCCTCGATCAATAACAGCTTTTTTAAATATTCTTTGTTTAAGCCAACTTAGGCCGTTGGAAGTTGTTCAACCATGTTGACGTGTTTAATAGTTTAAGGACGAAATCATTGGAAGTACGTTTAAAATTTTTAGGCGATGAAAAAACTCTTAACTTTTTTTGATAGCATTATGTAACTTCAGCGTAATTTATTCTTCTTAGTTTGTTCTTCGAAAATTTGGGCTCCTGTGTGGTTGAAACCGTTGAACCGCAAAAATAAGACCGTTGGAACTAAGATTAATTATGAATTAACTGTTGGATTAAGTTCTTAAGCGATGTTGAAGTATAAGTTTGAAAAATATATATTATTGGAAGCACGTATAAAAAAAATAAGATTTTTAACTTTACCCTGAGTACCAGTGGTTTCTCTCGCGTGCGGCTATTGAATGCAGCGGAGATGCTTCGGGGTCGTCCACAGGCCGACACGTCTTCGGCCTTTAGTCCGAAGCCACGGAAACTACACATGAAAAGTCTCTGGCACTCAGGATAATTACTCACAAGTTTGAGGAATAAATTTTTTTTATGAGAAAGAAAAGTAATCTGTAGTATTTTATAATTTTTTTGTTTTATAATTACAATACTTTTAAAATAAAATACGTAATGCTAAAACTCGCAATAATTATCTGACGGAAGTGATATTGCAATTGTACCCAATACCCAGAGGAAGGGTTTTTTAATTAAATGACTTTTTAATGATAATCCCCCTGCGCGCTTTCTTTTCGCCTCTCTCCAGCCGCCACAGGGTTCGCACAGGTCATAGAAAACCTGGAAAGTCATGGAATTTAGGAATTTCATTTTCAAGGCCTGGAAAGCCATGGAATTTAATTGTCGGTCCTTCAAAGCCATGGCAAATTGAAGTTTTGTTTCGTAGATTAGTTACTACAGATGACAAAGCAAGGATAATGAAGATGCGCGAACGGTGCGCATTTTGGTGGATACCAGAGTTTGTGTTTTGTTGAGCTGTTTAAAAGGAAAAAAAATATGCTAAAACAAGTAAAGTTTTGAAAGTGTTCGAACTGAAGTGACAGCTAAACCTAAGATAATGGAAACTCATGGAATTTGAAGAACTCAAAAGAGTGAGAATCCTGCACCAAGCCACCTTCGTCTATTTGATTTCTGGTCCAATTGGAATTCGCTATAGTACATCTCACATAATACACCTTGTTTGCCCCCAAATTTTGCATAAGCATTGTCATCATTTCCTCGTGGGACGACTGTAATCCCCAAGAGAAATTAAAAACAAAGGATGTGCAAAATTTGGGGGGGAAGTAAACAAGGTGTATTGTGGGAGATGTGAAAACGGCAAATTGGGAAACCGGAGTCCCCGGATGAAACCCTCTCGCAGCAAAGGAGAAAACTAACAGCAAACTCCCACATATAGCTTCGACACCAAAATTTGAACCCGGGCCACATAGGTGGGCGGCGAGTGCTCTCACCACCTAGAAGCCTGTTCCAGAATCAAAGATATTAGGAAAAGCGGAACGAGGGGGAAAAGTCGAGCGAAAACCGCGTTTGGGCTGGGGAGTTGCTGGGAAGTGGTCCTGACCGAGAGCCTGGCAAAGGCTAGCCTCCTAGAGACACAAAAAGGGCTCGACGAAAGGAGAGGGCGGCAACATTACTGTGTGGTTCTTGGAAAGCGTGAACGAGTAGTCTCAAGGTTTAAGTAGAAACTAACTAGCATACTTGCTTCCAAAAAGTAGTTTGAGTTGGATCGTCTGGTTGAACGTAGTTGACAGTGGCGATACTTACTTCCATTACGCACAAATGTGTACAAACACTAAGCTTTTGTTTTCACAACCTTGAATTCGCGAAAACGTTGTTAGTATGTAAACAACTGAATTTGTACTTCTTTGTTCATTCCTTACCTCATATATTTTTACTCCCTTCTCTGAACATCGTAAAAGCGATTTGTTGAAGAAGTGGGTGTTTATAGTTGCGGAAACTGTATTGGTTCGTTGTTGTTTTGCGATGAGGGTGTTGAAGAAGTTACCATAAGATTGCCTTGTTTTTTCTTAACGCTGACGTGCTACTCAATCTAGCCTGTTCCAGGCTCCCAATTCCTCCCGTTTTATTTTCGTGTTCTCGCTTTCTCAGTTTCGCGGACCTGACTATTTGGCAGCCTGGAACAGGCCACTCAATATCCATTACGCAGAGTACCTTAGCCAATCAGATTGCAGAATTCTTGATAGTATATTAACTTAGTTGGTTACCATAAAATGAGGTGTGGAAGGGCGCAAAGGTCGCAGACCACAGGGGAAGACAGCGATTCATTCACGTGCATGAGACGTAGTAACAGCACCACGTCGTGCCCAGGAGATTGAAATGGGGGGGGGGGGGGGCCCTTTCCCCAGGGGAGGGCGCGGGGGAACCCAGCAGGGTTTTGATGTGGAAACCCCCCTCTTTTGCCAGGGGGGGGGGGGGGGGGCCGGGGGGGTACCGTTTTGGTAGTAGGTGTTTTGGGGGCAAAAGCACGGAGTTGGGTAAGCCGCTGGTGTTACTGTTAGGATGACGTGTTCGAGGACAAAAGCACGTATTCATAGAGTTCGGTAATATATGCAACGCTGATATTTGTGGTATATCTATTGTTATGGAAATATTCTTATTAATATCGTGAAAGATGCTAGCTATTGATTGTGTATGTGTGTTCGTTTTGTGTTTTTCCCATAATAATCACTTTTTTTATTGATCGCGAGTTTTCCACCGCTCGTGGTTGTGGTCTTCATCAGGCGAAATTGTCGATTTGCGGTGCGGAACAATTATCCTCTTCCCCTTTTCTCGTGATTGGTTGATTTCGTTTATACTGGAGCGTGAATTTGAAATCGCGCCAAAACTGCAGCCAGCAAATAAACGCTTATGCGATCAGACCTGAAAAAGCCGAGAAACAGGACGTTTTCTGCACCCTAGCCTATCGAGTCTTTCGGTCAGAGGTGAATTTTATTCGTTTCTCTGTTACCAAGAGACCTGAGTGCAGGTAATACCATGCATTTGAGGTATTTTGCTTATTTGGGTATGTTTACCGAGCCGTGTCACCTTTGACGTTTTTGAAAGTAACCGTCAACCAGAGCTATTATTTAGTATAATTCAATAATTAGGACACTTAATGCGTGTGGAAAATAACGTGCTCGTAGCTATAGTGGGCGTTAGCAAGAACAACTAGTGTTAAACTGTTAGTGAAATGCGGTGTATTCCATGCCACGCGTTCCTAAGGTGGCGGTTATGGAGAGGTTTAACTGTTAGTGTGTACATTCGAAGTGCTTATTTGATTTTCCTATGTTTACAGAACCGTTTTATATTCGACGTTTTTGAAAGTTAGCCGTGGACACTGTCCGAGAGCCAATATAAGCCAGCAGAGTCCTCCTCGTTGTGTGATCGAACAACAAGAAGAGGTTGCGTGCGAGTAATACTATGCATTCGAGTTGTATTTTCTGTGTTTACCGAACTGTTGTATATTGACGGTTCGATAGGTATCACTGAATGCCCAATCAGAGCTCATATAATTAGTATGCTTCACTGAATAGTTATGATATTTTATGCTTAGGCGTATGCAAAATTGGCCCATTTCAAGAGCTGAAGGTGTCTTGATAACAGCTACAAAATACCTGAAGTTTAGAGTTCTCAATCTAGGAGTGAAATGTTCAGAGCCGTCTTCTTTGCTGCCTTTCTACTTGCAGGCGTTTTTGCATTTCGTCTTAAAGACCTGCCAGGTTTGCAATGTTTTGCTTTTAATTTTCGTAACAAATTCTCTTCAATTAGTATAGTGAAAAATCCATTATGGTCCAGGCCATGCCTATTTCTATTTTTATATGTCAGTCTACCTTTTAAACAAAAAATACCAGTAGAGAATGTTAAAATACTCTTGGAGAGCTTTCCAGCTTTGAGGAACACCATGTAAGCTACTAGCTTAATTCCTTGGCTTCACACACACTCGACCAAACGTGCACCATTTATCCCGCCTAATTTTAACGGTCCGCAACGATAATTATATTTGCCTCGATCAATAACAGCTTTGTTTAAGCCAACTTAGGTCGTTGGAAGTTGTTCAACCATGTTGACGTGTTTATAGTTTAAGGAAGAAAAAAGATCATTGAAAGTACGTTTCAAATTTTTAAGCGATGAAAAAACTCTTAACTTTTTTTGATAGTATTATGTAATTTCAGCGTAATTTATTCTTCTTAGTTTGTTCTTCAAAAATTTGGTCTCCTGTGTGGTTGAAACCGTTGAACCGCAGAAATAAGACCGTTGGAACTAAGATTAATTATGAATTAACTGTTGGATTAAGTTCTTAAGCGATGTTGAAGTATAAGTTTGAAAAATATATATTATTGGAAGCACGTATAAAAAAAATAAGATTTTTAACTTNAAATTTTTAAGCGATGAAAAAACTCTTAACTTTTTTTGATAGTATTATGTAATTTCAGCGTAATTTATTCTTCTTAGTTTGTTCTTCAAAAATTTGGTCTCCTGTGTGGTTGAAACCGTTGAACCGCAGAAATAAGACCGTTGGAACTAAGATTAATTATGAATTAACTGTTGGATTAAGTTCTTAAGCGATGTTGAAGTATAAGTTTGAAAAATATATATTATTGGAAGCACGTATAAAAAAAATAAGATTTTTAACTTTAAGAGTGACCTTCACTGGACATGAATTCATATTTATTCTTCCTTTGTTCTCGGAAATTTTGGCTCTCAGGCAGTTGCAGCCGTTTGAACCACCGTAAATGACCACGAAAAAATGTTTGTCTACAGGCTCTCACTCTTTCCCTTCTCTCTCCTCGCGATTTTTTCACCCTTTCCCCAAACAGAAAGGCTTTTCACAGGCCATCAATAGCTTTGCACCTAACCTTGCGCTTCAAAACATCCTCGCATACCCAGGGGCAGGTAGTGGGGGCAAAGGAAAGTTTAAACGGGCATTTTTTCCCCCCGCCCTTTTAGACTTTCCCTTGTCCCCACTATCGCGCCGTGGGCAACTCGGAAACGGCCTAATTTTGGCGGGTGCTTGCGGTCATGTTTAGGTGTTCTTCTCAGGACAGATTAATAGCATGTACTAGCTACTTGAGTGTGTTTTCTTTTGGTGCGGTTTTCTTTTCAACGAATTGCCTTAAAAAAGTTGGCGAAGATCAATGATGCCTTCTCAGACCTAAGAGAAAAAAAGAAAGAAAACTACAAGACATTTGTTTTAATTTTTTGGCTCCGTTTACACAATTTTTTTAATATGGCATACGTAGAATGGCGAGAAGAAGATGAGGGCAGACGAGAAATGCCACAGGAACGAAGATTTATCCCGGAATATGAAGGTAAACAGAATACCCGTTAATCTTAGGCTTTGAAGAACTTTCCACAAAATTGCAAAAAAATATATCCGATTTTATATGCAGTTTTCTCGATCGGTTAGAACTCTATATCGGCACTTGCTAATTATGCACATCATGTAATATTTGAATGAACAATTAAAAAATTATCACTGGTATTTCATTATTATTATTATTATTATTATTATTATTATTGTTATTATTATTATTATTACTATTATTATTATTATGAAATGTTTTTAATTCGAATAATTTTTTTTAATGAAATGAATTTTTTCTAATCAAAATAAAGTGGTTTTTAATCCAAAGGAGTCGTAAATAGTGTTTTGAATGAATAGTTTTTTAAGCGAATTAATTTTAAATAGGATTTTAATAGTTAGCTTTGTTATCAGCAAATTATTATTATAAAAGTTATTTATTATTATTATTATTATTATTATTATTATTATTATTATTATTATTATCATAATAATGTGCCTTATAGTTAATTTTTATATTCCCTTCTTAACTTCTGTAGAAGAAGTTGATGAAGAAGACGAAGGAAGACCAGAAATGCCGCTGGAACGAGAATCATTCCCGGAATATGAAGGTAAGCAAAGGAAATAAATTAAAAAGCAGCCGGTAAAAAACTTTTGAACTTCCTTTATTTGCTAAAATTATGGTGCTTTCGCGATGAGTGTGGATTCTATCATCGGCAATGGCAAGTTATGCAGCTCTAGGAGCCTTCACCAGTCCTAGTTCAGCCATCTTTGCTTTTAAACTGAGTTGCGGGTAAAATTGTATATTTCATCTTTTTTTTTTGAGTGTCGATTCCCGGATTCTCCATTCAAGACTAAGACTCTGTTTACATGGAGTGGGGGACCCCGGTCTAGTGGGGTAGTTTTCTTTTGTTTTGTGTCCCCCAGAGCGTGAAAACAAAAGAAACCAACCCCATTAGACCGGGGTCCCCTACTCCATGTAAACAGGCCCTAAGGGCGCCTTCCATTTGTCAGAACTGACTGGCAAGGACTTTTCCTTCGTTATGAGAATTCTATTTTTAATCAAAGCTATTCAGCCAAATCAGTCAAATCCTAAATTGTATGCACGAAGGAAATCGTTTTTCATCAACAACTCTTGGAAAAAGCCGAAAATATAGGACTCAGTAAATTGAAATGGCCTTGAGTCGGCAAGATGAAGTGAATCCTCTGTTCTCATTGGCTATATCACATCAGGCTAGGATTTCCCAGTTCGGTCCCGCAAGAAAAAAGCTCCCTTGACCGTATAATAAATCATTTATCCGCGCGCGACCAAACTTGTTTGGTCAATCAATAACGCATAAAATTCATCTTATCATAACATAACATTTAAAGTGAATAATAAAAAAGTTATTGTTATTGAGAGTTAATTGTTGCTATCGTAATATTAGAGACCTTTACAGTCGAAGACTTTCAAGAGATTTTTCGCTTATTCTCAAGAAATATACACCCCCGAAAGTTTCATCGTCCTTTTTTTTATCATAAACGTTAGCACGGTTATTTTAATTGAAGGATGTTAAGCCCTCTCGCGATCGCAAAAATGATAAAACTTCTAACGTTTTATTAGTTGTTTTAGTCACTACTACATTCTTGCTAAAACTCGCAGTATAATGACCACAGCTCTATAGCGTTTTCCCACCAAAATAACACTGTTTAACGCGCGCGCACGACTCAGTATTGAGAAAACCTCGTCCCCGTGTTTCCTGGTACTAGAAACTTTAGCTCTTTACTACTCGTACCCAGGTCTCTTGTCGACGAAGAGATCTGGGAACGAGATAAAATATTCCTTTCCCTGAATTTCTAAAACTGTATTTTAAAAGTTTTGCATATCCCTGGATAGATCAGAGAGAAGAAGATGAAGGCAGACCAGAAATGTTGTTGGAACGAGGATTAGTTCCGGAGTATGACGGTGAGCAAAGGAAATTTTAAAAAAAGCAGCTGTTTTTAGTCCATAAAACTCAAGGATAATGCGTTGTTTTTCAATCTATTAGCGGAAGAAATTAAACCAGCTGTTTTTAGACCATAAAAGTCAAGAATAATGAGTTGTTTCTCACTCCTTTCTCAGTTCTATCAGCACTGGCAAAGTAAGATGCGCTCTTAATGACAAATAACTAGTTCTTGAATGTTATTTAATGTTTAGGCTGCCTTTACACGGCACCGTACGAATTTTCGACCGGCTGCAAAATTTTGCTGGACACTTTGTTTACACTAACTCATGACGAACCAGTCAGAGGTTTAATATGCCCATACGCAGAGTGCTACTTTAGCAAATCCAAAATCTCGTCTCTAGGCTGAGTTAAGGCGCCTCCATGCAACCACGCCTTTTTGGTACAAAAATATAGACAGTTATGGTGTTCACACCGGACCGGTAAACATTTTCCATCGTTACAGGTAAACGTTTGTACTCGATTTTGGCGCCGTTCATATTTTCGTTCCGTTTAGGTGCCGGTTTTTCCGAGTGAACGGAATACCAAGACCCCCGAGTTTTCAACCAGTGGAAAATTCGTCCGGTAACTTCCGGTGCCTATGAACGTGACCTTATTACTTTTCATGTATAATAACGAGCGTAAGTTGTTCATGCAATATAGTCCGTTTTTAATGTGCCGATGGACTTTCATCAAACTCCTGAACCAACGAAACGCTGGCTCTTCTTCTTCTCTAAGGAAAACGGTGTTAGAGTTTCTACTAATGAAACAATCTTGAACTGCTTAAGCCGCATACGCAAAACTCTTATTTGTTAATTGTAAACATATTGACATTCAAGGTGGCCTCTCCCAGGAGCCGGATGGTTTCTTGAGGTCTCCTCGCTAGAAAAAAATCTGAGGCAAATAAATGATGATGATGCCAAATGACTTGTTTGACCATATTAGTCTTCTTATCGCATACGTGGTATATCTAATCATATGCCCCCAAATGCCCTGGTGATGCCACACACTGTCAATTGATTAATTAAATGATACGTTTTTCCTTCCCCCTACCTTGGATCTCTCAACCCTCTTCTTCTCTGCCTTCTTTTTCAGATGACCCAGAGGTCTATAGAGACACTGCTTGGTTACTGGACAGAATATTTATGGACGGAGGTCAGTTGTCAGTCTTGCGGCTCATTAGTGCCTTTAGGCTTTATAGAGCTTCGTTTTAATTAGACCGTTCACAGACGCTCTAATTTCTCAGCTCAACGTGAACTTTCAGGAACGGTGAAAATCGCGCAATAGGCCATTTGCACTATGACATCGATATCATTTTACCACTACGACCAGAATCCTTCAGCGTTTTGCTTTCTTGTGCAAATTAGGGCTTTTGTGATTCAAACCTCGCTGGGATTACAAAATTTCAATATGAAAGGAAAAACGAAATGGATTCTGGTCGTAGTAGTAAAATGACGCCATTGTGCAAATGGCCTATAGGAACGCGAGTGCAAAACGCAAAAAGATTGCCTCAGTGTCAGGAGTAAAGTTGGTGAATTTTTCTCACTTTCCGTCACCCAGCCCCTCGCAGTGCGCTTTGACAAACGTGTTTGGTTCACGCATATCTTCTTAGTAACTCTCAAACATTTTGTTTGCAAGTCAAGCGTTAGTGTTTCACGAACGGCCGATGAAGCGCTGAGAAGTTATGCCTGTTACAAAGGCTAATTCGCACTTTTATGGATCACAAATGCGAGAAAAAAAAGGATAAGTATATATTCTCGCAAAAAATGTTGAGCCAGTCGTTTGACTTCATGGCTTTCGCGTAAAAACCTTTCGCAAGTTAAATATGACCAGCGTGTAAGGCCTAGTAAGCAATACGTGAGCATTCCGCTAAAGTAATTTTGGCGATTTTTTGTATTATATTGTTGTTGATGTTTGTTTGTTTTTACTGTGCAGCCGAAGTCGTCGCTATACCACCTATTGTGAAATACAGATTTGGAAGTGGAAACAAACAGGAGGTATCGTATGATTAACGCTTTCCTTTTTTAAAAATTATCATTTGCTTCAAGCGACGTACACTGGACTTTTTTCTGTGCGAAGTTTAGGGGCGTGTATTTGGGTGACGTCACAGCTACCTGTAGTGCCAAGGCTTTACCAGGTCAGCAATGCCTATAGCTATAGCACAACACCTATAGCGGTCTCTTCCCTGCCCATTCAATCTCACCCGCCATTGCTAGAAAACCTTGTCTTCTTCGGTAAAATTGCGGGTATTGCGGGTACCTTGTTTTGTCTAGTTTTGTTTAAAGTAAGACCGTGTTTTGTTTTTTGTTTTTGTCTGTTTTTTCCTTACCGTAAAATAAGGTACGTTTCGTTATCAGCTTTGATAACCGGTTTTCTCCCCCTTATTACGACAATTTATAAGGCCAGGGACCCGTTTCTCGACCCTAGAACGAGGTTGGAACTTCTAGGTAAGTTGACGGGCTCGAAATCAATATTCACATCAAAACACTAAAGAACAAAAGCGTGGGTCCTAGTTAAGAAACCAGAAACCAGTTTGATGTTTGTTTATTGAAAACGCGATCTACTGTATTTATTCGATTAACCGCCCTGGGCGCTTATTAAATTTTTGGACCTTGAGAGTGGGCGCTAATTCGAGGTGGGCGCTTATTCGAGGCTGGGCGCTTATTAAATTTTTAACATTTTCAGCAAGTGTAGCATGTTTAGTTTGCAACAAAACAATAAATAGTAAAAAGAAAACGCGAAGATGTAACAAAGCAAGGTTTCTGTAAAATACTTTGAAGAAAGTCTCTTATTAGTACTTATTCAATTTTTGTAGGGTGTGAGGGGAAAGGAGGTGGGATGGGGGTGGGCGCTTATTAACTTTTTCTGCCTTTAGGATGGGCGCTTATTCGAGGTGGGCGCTAATTCGAGGTTGGGCGCTTATTCGAATAAATACGGTATTATAATGTAAACGACAAAGGGTTTTCGGGCCTGTTAAAAATCGAATATTGAGAGAAACGGGCCTCAGGCTTCATACCCAGTATTATGGTGTAGTCTGAAAACCTAACTTCATTTTAGCGTGTTTAATTTATTCTACCCTTATTTCTGTGCGTAGTGTGTGGATGGAAAGAAGTCCATACCAGCCAATTGCCAGTGGACTGGTATGGTGGTACTGAACGAAACCGTAGGCCCCGAAGAACTTAAACTGACGGTGGCTAAGAAGTACTGTACTCAAGCTGGGCTAACTAAGCCAGACAACGAAATTATAGATTGTGAAGAATAGTAGTTTGGGCGTTGTATGAAAACACCTCTTGTCAAAGGTAAGTTAGAGTTGCCTTCTCGACATGTTTTCTCAAGGCTTAGTGGGGAGCATGGAGCAAGTTAGAAGCGCGAGAGCTGGTGACGAGCTGGAAGGGGGAGAGGAGGAAATGGGAACAAGCGCAGAGCGTGAGCGGGGAGCGGTGGAAAGGAAAAAGAGAGAAAGGCTTTAAAAACACTCCTTTCGCCCCAGCTTTCCTTAATAACTAACTCAAGTATCCCTCAAAATAATGATTGCGATTGACAGGGGACAAAACAGTAGCCGTTGTATTCCCGTAATGCACTTTGTCTTAACACAGTTTGTAATTGCAGACACATTTTCCCCGCCTTTTTTCACGCTATGCAAGATCCGAAAAAAGACCAATGACTGCGTCTATCTTTCAGGATTTTCACTTAAGATCTTGAGTGTCTTGTATTTTACATTGGTTAAGCCGGGAACCAATAACCCAGCGTGAGCAAATACCATGAATTTGTGTCACTACGCACTCACAGACCAGTTTACTTTTATATCGATTTTGGCGCAAATCAGTAGACCATATATCATGTAAGTTTCCAAGACGATTGACCAAAAGGTACAGACCAAAAAATGCGGGTTTGAGATGTGCGCACTTGCTCTTTCAAAAAGAAATCCGGAATTTTGGTGAACTTTAATTTTATGCATTGGCCACGATTAGGAGTGTAGTGAGTGTCACGTGGGTGTCCGTTTTTACCCTCACGGGATTTTCCTCACGGGACACTCGTTAGAGTCGGGTGGCTTATTTTGTAGCTTCGTTATAAGATATCGTTCACAGATACTTTTGTTGCCCTTTCCTAGACAAATAGTGTGGCGTGATTCATTGTTTCTAAGCGTATCCTTCATATAGAGCGATTTTCGTATGACCTTGAAAAATGGTTTCGGTAAGTGTTCGTCATCTGTTTCATAAGCCAATGGATGAAAAGATCAAAACATGGACTCTTCGTTTTGCCGCTAAAGAAAACCCTAATATGGAGAAGGCATTGTTCGATTGGCTAATCGTGTTGCAGTATGACGTCAAAGCCAAGTATCTGTTGATTTGTAGAAAGTTCTCGGGCAGGAAGTTTTTTCACCCGAGCGTTCGCTTAACCAACCAAAAGCCAAGCGCTTTGTATCCGTTCGATAAACCAATCAAATCGCTATATTTCCGTACGTTTGTTGTTTCTGTTTCGTTCGCTCGTTTTCATTTCAGTGTCATACGAAAATCAGTCTAGTATTGAGTGTTTTCACATGACATCACGTCCGCCATGTTGGTGTCGCAACCATGAAACGGCGGCCATGTTGTTGTTACACCTGCTACGGTCCGAATACCTGTTCACATTGCACCAAAGTGTGGCACGGAACATATTCGAGATCGGTGAAGAGCAGCTTCGCTCCGTTAAAGAAATCGGGCCGAAATCGCCGTTCTTATGTGTCAACCAGTGGTGGATCCAGACCTTCAGACAACGGGGGAAGGGGGGGGGAGATCCAGACTCTGAGATAAGGGAGGGGCCGGTCTCCATTTATATAATATTGTGATTGCTACATAAGTTCAGTAACATCTGTAAACCTGAAGAAGGCTGGTATGGCCAGCCGAAATATTGTTATAAAAACAATACACGTTGTCTTAAATCAATTTTGCAGCAGTCTTTGGACTACTCGTTCTTGGTTCTTCAGTTATATTTTGGCTGATTAAATCTCTTTTCTAGAGATCCAACGTTTACAACTAGCAGGATCTTCATCCACGGTTTTTGCAGTTAATTTAATCCTTTATTATTGGTCTCCATAAACAATTTTTTTTCCGCCCTTCGGACCTCAGTTTGGTCTAAAACTAAGGGGGGGAGGGGCCCTCCCCTGGATCCCCCACTGTAGAACAGAAGCCCTTTCGGATGTGGTTCGTGCGCAGGCGCGAAAGCTGTATGGTATAGTGTGAACATAGCCACAGGCTGCTATCCTACTCAGTTGAGAATTAGCAGTGTTATGGTGATACCATTACAAAGTTAATTTTCTACCTAGCCTATCAGCCTTGCTTATTTATCTACCATTCTAGCAACGTATTTCACATACCTTTCCTAATTTGTCCCTTTACGCTGACTTCCTAATTGGTGTGTTATATACTTTCCATTTTTCAGATTCAGCAGTCACTTTATGCCATCAAGAGGGTCATTTTTTTTTACTTTATCTACTTAAGAGAAAGAATAGCAAGAGAGTACAGCCAACTCTCGTCGCTTACTGTCGGTAATAAGAGAAAACTGTATTTGTGGGCCAGAGAAGGGGATATTCAGCAATATTTTATCTTTAACGGTACATTAAAATAAAAAAGAAAAATACCAACACACCTTGTTTTTACTACGAAAGATCTTCGTTAAAATCTAATGAATAAGACTCAGTTAACCAACCTCGTCCCCAGGGCGCTTTTCCCTGGGGGTTGTCAGTTAACAAAAGTGATCCCCAGGGCTGTCACTAAGATTTCAAGATGCCGGGTAGATACAACAATTAGGCGGGGAATAGCTAGGGATTTCTTTTGGTTCTATTTTTCTTCTATTTTCCTATGAAAGAAACTGGGGGAAATCCCCGACTTTTACTCCCCCCCCCCCGCCCCCCCCGCCCCCCCCGCCCACCGCCTCTTAATAGCGAGCTTAAGCAAGGACCATGGCAACGGGAACGACAAAAAGGCAATAGGTTAGATTAGCAAAACAACAGCTTTTTTGTACATTTCTTAGCCGTCGTCGCAAGACTACCACGTGAAAATGACTAATTTCACATTTTGTCGAGGACGGGAACACACGACAACAACTTTCTTTTCCTTTTCCTGAACTTTGATAGTCCTTCAGAATTCAACTGCAAAAAAAGTTGCCCACATATGACAAATTAAACGAGATGGAATAAGCGCGATAAAGTTTGAGGCAGCGCGAATTCACTTTTTAACTGACGTTTTCGTAGCCGTCGCCGTCATTTTTGCTCAAGCTTCCTATTGACAGCCCTGGGTCCCTGGTGGAAGGGTAGAGGGGTCACCCGCCTATTCGAGCTACCTCGGGGAAACCAACTTTTCCAAAATTTCCTTAAGAAACTTGGCGAATTGTTTTCATGAGAAACAAAATGGCTCGGCTGGAAGGGGGACCCTACTAGTCGGGTCACCCTTTTGTGATGCTATGGTCACCCTCAAACAATTTGGCTCGCCCAGGTCACCTCCGTCAATGCGAGACAATCAGAGCATGCGCGAGCGCTTTTTGCTTTAACGTCTTTCTTAGGTGGAAGGGTGACCGTTCTTTCTGGTACAAGTTTTCTCCACTGGCTCCCCGTCAGCGGAATATGAGGGAATCCAGAGATACTGTAAGAGGCATTTGTTTGAAACGCATATGTTCGGATCGGGAGTGGCCGAAAAAAACCTTCGGCATTACAGCATTTACAGAAAATTCTATCCCATAGGGACTCTGTGAGTAAAAGCTCATTTGAGGCTGATTGTTTTTTTTCTTCGTACGGTCAAAATTTTATAAAACGCATTCATGACATTTACTTTTTCTTGTGAAGGCCTTACTTTTTTTTCTGCGTATTATTAGTTTTTTTTCCTTTTCTTTTCTTCTTCTTCTTTTTTTTATCAAACGGGAGGCGGGATTTGGTCACTGCATGCACCCTAGCAGCCTTCAAACAAACTCTTCATCTGAGGGATATCGTGAGAACTTTGGTGTCTTGTAAAATGTAGACCTTTTCTAAAATATACAGAGATGGAGCAGATGAACTTCGACTGAACGGTCCAGCTGTATTATTGATAAACATTTCTGAAGACAATAGATCCCGTCACTAGGCCGTTCCCTGCTTATTTTGTACTGAAAACGAGACCAACAACAGTCGTTTGGATTTTTCACTTTATTTTGTTAGTATCTGACAAACATTTAATGTGCCAGTATACACAAAAAACTTTATAAGACCTAACATGTGTTTACGAGGACGATTCACTAATCAGGATGCTATGTAGAAGTTAATAGAGAGTTTTAGATCCGAGTTTACGGCGAACCTCTAACCGCTGGAGGTCACGTGACAAGTCTTTCGCGTCACGTTTGAGGTATACAACGTGCGTTTTCAACGTGGAGAGGTAGGTTTTCACGTAGGTCATTTACCTGAAAGCTTTTAGCGTATAATTCCTGTTTTATCTCACGTGATGATACAAAAATCTTGTGGAGCAAGTCTTTATCCATTAACAGAGGCACAAATTCGGGCGAAATGCTAAATTTGATAAATCCTATTGGATCTTGGAAACAAGTGCCATTCATGGCTGCTGATTCAAAATGGCGGCCGTAAATTCATTGCAAGAAGACCTAATGTAAGAATACAGAGCTCTTTGGCGCTAGTAACCCAGTGCTACCGTAAATTTCTTTTATTTTCACTGATTGATATTTCTTCTATTTCTAAATGGAAAAATAAACCAGAATCCACTTCTTTAATCCTCTGCCAATCTAAATCGAATTATGTTTGAACGTTGAACCGCAAACGGGTAACCACAAACCGCGGTTAGAGGTTCGCGGTAAACTCCGATCTAAAACTCTCTAATAAATAAAAGGAAGAACAGGGTGAAAACGTACGTGCAGCTAGATATAAAACACTTTTCATGCTTGAGGTGCATGTAAACAAACGCTTGACCTTCAACGTCTAATGCAAAATGGAACCTGAAAAATAAAAGTATACAAATTAAGAGAAATCAATCCCAAATTTCTAACATTAAACAGCCTCAAAATCATGGTCCTCTCCTACTCGTCCCTAGTCTCCTCTTTCTCTCTCGCTCCGAGGAAGAGTAGGAGAGGACCCTGGGATTAACATTTTAAAAGGTAATGCATTTTATTCTGAGCGGGAGGGTTACGTTTTAACAACAACAAAATTAGGCCACTTCCGAGTTCCAAAAACCCTCACTTTCAAAATGAGGCTAGGTGCACAACCTTTCTTGTGAAAATGAGTTTTATTTGCATGAGAATGAAAAATGATTTCCATATAAAAAGTTGAGCGGCCTACCCTCGTTTTGAAACAGAGGTCCGGGGGAACTCGGAAATGGCCTATTATACAGGGGAGGTTCTGCTTAGAAGTTACCTCTTTCGCCCTGTAAAACTTCGGTTGAAACATTGCATCTCCTTCACTTACCAATTCAAAACTCCATCATTGATTGGCTAAACCTTTGGAATGACTAAGCGGAGAAAAAGTACTTGAAATGCCTACCCTAAACCTGACCATGAAAAAGACAGCCCTTTCGGGGGATTCCCCCCCCCCCCCCCCCCCTTTTTTTTGCCATTTTAAGGGAAAATTATAAAGGGCCCCCCCCCCCCCCGCCCGGAAATTTTTTCCCCCCCCTCTCACACCCACCCCAACACCCTTACAACACCCAAC